CCCTCCTCTGTATTTTATTTCATACCTTGAAATACGGTTGGTAAAATAAGGTTCTATTGGTAATCTCATCATTCTGTCTCTGTAAAATTACCAATAATAGTGAGATGGCAAAGTTACCGATGGACCTTGGGAAAAACGCCAATAGTTTTTATCGACTGTGGTAGAATTACCGAGATAAAATGGTAAAGTTACCGGGGATTGATTACCAATAAAAGTGGTATTCTTACCTGAAAAAATCAGTAAAAATACCGGTTTTCAGGTAAGCTTACCAGTCTGTCTTTGTAACATTATACTAATAATTGATAAAAAAAAATGAGATGGTTAAGTTACCAACGGATCTCGGTAAAAACGGCGGCGGCGGAATAGAAACATCTTTCATATGCGTCATTCATGCGTTAATGAAAAATTGCAATTTATTGCAATTTTATCTCTATAAAATCGCGTTCGATAATATCGCGATTTTGTTGCAATTTATCGCGATTTTTCTCCCGATAATATTGCAATAAATCGCGACGTCGATAAAATCGCGATACATTCTCCAATTAAATCGCAATTTATCGCGATCACTGCTACTTGGGTGGTAGAATCTTTAAACCACATATTAAGTGTCCAAACGGGTCTGTTGCACTCAAGAGATACAGCCAAGTGAATAGGATTTCTACAGGTGAAATGGCTTGAAAATCACGTTGGACACGTCATTAAATTCTGAAACCCACTTCTTAAAGCACAATTTGCATAGTTCGTAACACGAATTTTTGAATTTATAGTCTTAGCAGGCACTTTTTTCTCAGAGGCTCGCAGGCAGGTTTTCCAGAGGGAGACGCAAGCGAACCAAACCTTAAAGAACATGCAACTTAGCAAAATGTTAAAAGCTTAGCTTACCTAAGTAAGATTTCAATGGGCCCGTTGCAAACTTCAGCCAGGGCAAAATGAAGAGTTAGGTCTCATAAAAAATGGCTGAAAAGTCACGTTGAGGGCAACAGGAAAGTCTGAAATACATTCCTAACATCACAATAAGCGTTTTTCAAGCTTCCCGCTTGAAATACGATACTACGGCATAAAAGAATATTTCAAAAGTGGAGTCGTTTCATCTAAACTTTTTGCACTAGGATGCTATATAATACTCAACGATATTAAAATTTTAATTCTATTTCGACCCATTTTGAGGTTTCCATGACGAAAATTTTAGAAAGTGCTAACTGAATTAGCAAGGTGTTTTTATTTAAATTTCTACATTATAAAAGATAAATGCATAAATGGCCTCGATGAAGGTTATTTTCCACTACCGAAAACTTCATTTTTTTTTGGGGGGGGGGGGACAGACGACACTATTATTAATGCCGGAAGCGCAAGGCTCCCCCTGTCCCATAAGGCGTCATGTTTGCAGGATCGCTAGCCTTTTTTTAAATTGAACCGGCCCCAAAGTTGGACGGTCACATAAATTTCCAAAGGGTTGCTTAGAGTTTGCTGTATAATTAATTGTGACTTGGGTCGGGGACAAGTCAGCCCACTATGAATTGGTGCAGTCCATGACATTAAGCTTGGTTTACATTTTGGAGGGCCACTAAAAATTATATGATTTTTTCTTATCTGTCATAATTTTATAATTTCGATCACAGTCACGTTTTAAAAGTCGCAACCCTCACTTCTCTTTAGCGCCATAAAATTTTTTGGAGGACTGGTCAAAGGCATGCTGATAAAATCATGATTTGGTCAAACGCCCCACTTTAAAACTTATATGGCCCAAAAGTTCTGCGACCTACAAATTAATGGGTCAGTCAGATTCCAAAAAATTATGATCTGTGCCTCCGACCCACTTTTACACTGATACAACACAAAAGTTCTGGCGTCTCATAAATTTGTAGAGGGACGGTCAGATTAATCAAAAAAATTATGATTTGTGCCTCCCACCCACTTTTAAACTTATATGGTTCAAAGTTTCCAGCGTCTCGCACATTTTTGGTGGGCTGGTCAGTCAGGTGGAGGAAAATGATTCGGGCCGCTGCGTGCTGGTGGCTAGTCCTCTTCAAACATAACCAAAATTTTTCATCGTCTCAAGAAGTTTCGAAGGGCAGACCTGAGTTTGGCAGATCATAATTTTGGCCGCTGCCACCAGCCCACCTAGACTTTTTACAGCCAACTCCTCTTCAGCATCTTTTCTAAGATGATACGTACACAAGAGTTTATTTTATCTCTCAGTGTCCTCTCTTTGTTAGCTTTTCTTCTTTCTTTCTTTCTTTCTTCCTTTCAATTTTTTCTTTCTGTTTTTTCTTTTTTCCCCTCAACCGGCTCACCGGCTCTCTGGGAGCTTCCCAATTTCCTGGTGGGCCAGTCCACCTTTGAGCACATAATAATTGCTCTGAATGAGCATTTTATTGCTCTAACCTAGTACAAAGTTATGAACTCTTGCCAGTTTTTAGATCCCCAGACCCCACGCCTATTCCTTGATAGAAAAGGGACAAGTCAATTTTTAGAGCTTTCTAGCTCTGACTAGCGTTCCATCATCTTACTATAGTAAAAAAATATAAGGCCTTTTTTGTGTGTACGTCCGTGTCATTTCGCATGCTCATTGGTCTTTCATTAACCAATCAGAAAACTTTATTGAAAATCCCCGGGAAATTTAAATGTATTCTTCCGTAAAGGAATTAATGATAGGTAGACACGTATAAAAATGGGATGTATTTCTTCTAATTAACCAGGATAAAAAGGAGGAATATCACCTATACAGGATAGTCTTGGAAAAACGGGATGTACCTATATTAATAAACCGGGATAACAGGAAGAATATCGATCTTTATATATCGATATTCGATACATCGTTTGTTCTAAAGCAGTATTGACTGAGATAAAACGGGAAATCTTCATAATAACCGGGATAAAAGGGAGGGATTTTACCTATACAGGATCGTCATGGATAAAGCGGGATGTAACTACATTAAGAAACCAGGATAACAGGAAGGATATCGATCTTTATATATCGATATTCGATAAATCGTTAATCGTTATCGTTAAAGGAATTAATGATAGGTAGACACGTATAAAAATGGGATGGATTCCTTCTAATTAACCAGGATAGAAGGGAGGAATATTACCTATACAGGATAGTCCTGGAAAAATGGGATGTACCTATATTAATAAACCGGGATAACAGGAAGGATATCGATCTTTGTGTATCGATCTTTGATACATCGTTTGTTCCAAAGCAGTATTGACTGGGATAAAACGGGATTTCTTCATAATAACCGGGATAAAAGGGAGGGATTTTACCTATACAGGATAGTCATGGATAAAACGGGATGTAACTATATTAAGAAACCGGGATAACAGGAAGGATATCGATCGTTGTGTATCGATCTTCGATACATCGTCTGTTCTGAAGCAGTATTGACTGGGATAAAACGGGATTTCTTCATAATAACCGGGATAAAAGGGAGGAAT